TGATGAGTCTATGGGTCTTTCTGTGATGCATCTATGGGTCTCTGTGTGATGCATCTATGGGTCTCTGTGTGATGAGTCTATGGGTCTCTGTGTGATGCATCTATGGGTCTCTGTGTGATGCACCTATGGGTCTCTGTGTGATGCATCTATGGGTCTCTGTGTGATGAGTCTATGGTTCTCTGTGTGATGAGTCTATGGGTCTCTGTGTGATGAGTCTATGGGTCTCTGTGTGATGCATCTATGGGTCTCTGTGTGATGAGTCTATGGGTCTCTGTGTGATGCATCTATGGGTCTCTGTGTGATGCACCTATGGGTCTCTGTGTGATGCATCTATGGGTCTCTGTGTGATGAGTCTATGGTTCTCTGTGTGATGCACCTATGGGTCTCTGTGTGATGAGTCTATGGGTCTCTGTGTGATGCACCTATGGGTCTCTGTGTGATGAGTCTATGGGTCTCTGTGTGATGAGTCTATGGTTCTCTGTGTGATGCATCTATGGGTCTCTGTGTGATGAGCCTATGGGTCTCTGTGTGATGCACCTATGGGTCTTTGTGTGATGAGTCTATGGGTCTCAATAAGAGTCTATTGGTCTCTATGTGAATCTATGCGTCTCTATGTGAGTCTACGGGTCTCTATGTGAGTCTACGGGTCTCTATGTGAGTCTATGGGTCTCTATGTGAGTCTATGGGTCTCTATGTGATTCTATGGGTCTCTATGTGAGTCTATCGGTCTCTACGTGAGTCTACAGTTCTCTACATGAGTCTATGGGTCTCTATGTGAGTCTATGGGTCTCTATGTGAGTCTACAGGTCTCTATGTTAGTCTATGGGTCTCTCTGTGAGTCTATGGGTCTCTATGTGAATCTATGGGTCTCAATGTGAGTCTATGGGTCTCTATGTGAGTCTATGGTTCTCTATGTGTGTCTGTGGTTCTCTATGTGAGTCTACATGTCTCTATGTGAGTCTACGGGTCTCTATGTGAGTCTGCGGGTCTCTATGTGAGTCTATGGGTCTCTGTGCTAGTCTATAGGTCTCTATGTGAGTCTACAGGTCTCTATGTGAGTCTCCGGGTCTCTTTGCTAGTCTATAGGTTTCTATGCGAGCCTACAGGTCTCTATGTGAGTCTACAGGTCTCTACGTGAGTCTACGGGTCTCTATGTGAGTCTTTGGGTCTTTATGTGAGACTATGGGTCTCTATGTGAGTCTATGGGTCTCTATGTGAGTCTACGGGTCTCTATGTGAGACCACAGGTCTCTATGTTAGTCTATGGGTCTCTCTGTGAGTCTATGGGTCTCTATGCTAGTCTATGGGTCTCTATGTGAGTCTACGGGTCTCTATGTGAGTCTATGGGTCTCTGTGTGAGTCTATGGGTCTCTATGTGAGTCTATGGGTCTCTACGCGAGTCTACAGGTCTCTATGTGAGTCTATGGGTATCTACGTGAGTCTATTGGTCTCTATGTGAGTCTACGGGTCTCTATATGAGTCTATGGGTCTCTACGTGAGTCTATTGGTCTCTATGTGTGTCTATGGGTCTCTATCTGAGCCTACGGGTCTCTCTGTGAGTCTATGGTTCTCTATGTGTGTCTATGGGTCTCTATGTGAGTCTATGGGTGTCTATGTGAGTCTACGGGTCTCTATGTGAGTCTGCGGGTCTCTATGTGAGTCTATGGGTCTCTGTGCTAGTCTATAGGTCTCTATGTGAGTCTACTGGTCTCTATGTGAGTCTCTGGGTCTCTTTGCTATTCTATAGGTCTCTATGCGAGTCTACAGGTCTCTATGTGAGTCTCTGGGTCTCTTTGCTAGTTTATGGGTCTCTATGCGAGTCTACATGTCTCTATGTGAGTCTACAGGTCTCTACGTGAGTCTACGGGTCTCTATGTGAGTCTATGGGTCTCTATGTGAGTCTATGGGTCTCTATGTGAGTCTACGGGTCTCTATGTGAGTCTACAGGTCTCTATGATAGTCTATGGACCTCTCTGTGAGTCTATGGGTCTCTATGCTAGTCTATGGGTCTCTATGTGAGTCTACGGGTCTCTATGTGAGTCTACAGGTCTCTATGATAGTCTATGGATCTCTCTGTGAGTCTATGGGTCTCTATGCTAGTCTATGGGTCTCTATGTGAGTCTACGGGTCTCTATGTGAGTCTATGGGTCTCTATGTGAGTCTATGGGTCTCTATGTGAGTCTACGCGTCTCTATGTGAGTCTACAGGTCTCTATGATAGTCTATGGATCGCTCTGTGAGTCTATGGGTCTCTATGCTAGTCTATGGGTCTCTATGTGAGTCTACGGGTCTCTATGCGAGTCTACGGGTCTCTCTGTGAGTCTACGGGTCTCTATGTGAGTCTATGGGTCTCTACGCGATTCTACAGGTCTCTATGTGTGTCTATGGGTCTCTATGCTAGTCTATGGGTCTCTATGCTAGTCTGTGGGTCTCTATGTGAGTCTATGGGTCTCTATGCTAGTCTATGGGTCTCTATGCTAGTCTGTGGGTCTCTATGTGAGTCTATGGGTCCCTATGTGAGTCTACGGGTCTCTATGTAAGTCTATGGGTCTCTGTGTGAGTCTATGGGTCTCTACGTGAGTCTACAGGTCTCTACCTGAGTCTACGGGGGTCTACGTGAGTCTATGGATCTCTATGCTAGTCTACAGGTCCCTGCGTGAGTCTATGGGTCTCTATGTGAGTCTATGGGTCTCTGTGTGAGTCTGTGGGTCTCTTTGTGAGTCTATGGGTCTCTATGTGAGTCTATGGGTCTCTGTGTGAGTCTATGGGTCTCTATGCTAGTCTATGGGTCTCTACGTGAGTCTACAGGTCTCTATGCTAGTCTATGGGTCTCTATGCTAGACTACGGGTCCCTGCGTGAGTCTACAGGTCTTTATGTGAGTCTATGGTCTCTATGTGAGTCTGTGGGTCTCTATGCGAGTCTACGGGTCTCTATGTGAGTCTATGGGGATCTCTATGTGAGTCTTTGGGTCTCTATGCGAGTCTACGGGTCTCTATGTGAGTCTATGGGTCTCTATGTGAGTCTATGGGTCTCTGTGTGAGTCTATGGGTCTCTGTGTGAGTCTATGGGTCTCTATGTGAGTCTACGGGTCTCTATGTGAGTCTACAGGTCTCTATGTGAGTCTATGGGTCTCTATGCTAGTCTATGGGTCTCTATGCTAGTCTACAGGTCTCTATGTGAGTCTACGGGTCTCTGTGTGAGTCTATGGGTCTCTATGTGAGTCTATGGGTCTCTATGCGAGTCTATGGGTCTCTATGTGAGTCTACGGGTCTCTATGTGCGTCTCCGGGTCTCTCCGTGAGTCTGAGTCTCTACGTGAGTCTATGGGTCTATACGTGAGTCTACGGTTCTCTATGTGAGTCTATCGGTCTCTGTGTGAGTCTATGGGTCTCTATGTGAGTCTATGGGTCTCTGTGTGAGTCTACGGGTCTCTATGTGAGTCTACGGGTCTCTATGTGAGTCTATGGGTCTCTACGTGAGTCTATGGGTCTCTACGTGAGTCTATGGGTCTCTACGTGAGTCTACAGGTCTCTATGTGATTCTACGGGTCTCTATGTGAGTCTACAGGTCTCTATGTGATTCTACGGGTCTCTATGTGAGTCTACAGGTCTCTATGCTAGTCTATGGGTCTCTATGTGAGTCTATGGGTCTCTACGTGAGTCTATGGGTCTCTACGTGAGTCTACAGGTCTCTATGTGATTCTACGGGTCTCTATGTGAGTCTACAGGTCTCTATGTGATTCTACGGGTCTCTATGTGAGTCTACAGGTCTCTATGTGAGTCTATGGGTCTCTACGTGAGTCTATGGGTCTCTACGTGAGTCTATGGGTCTCTACGTGAGTCTACAGGTCTCTACGTGATTCTACGGGTCTCTATGTGAGTCTACAGGTCTCTATGTGATTCTACGGGTCTCTATGTGAGTCTACAGGTCTCTATGTGAGCCTATGGGTCTCTATGCCAGTCTATGGGTCTCTATGCCAGTCTACGGGTCTCTATGTGAGTCTACGGTTCTCTATGTGAGTCTATGGATCTCTATGTGAGTCTACGGGTCTCTATGTGAGTCTACGGGTCTCTACGCGAGTCTACAGGTCTCTATGTGAGTCTACGGGTCTCTACGTGAGTCTATGGGTCTCTGTGTGAGTCTATTGGTCTCTATGTGAGTCTGTGGGTCTCTGTGTGAGTCTATGGGTCTCTATGTGAGTCTACGGGTCTCTATGTGAGTCTATGGGTCTCTATGTGAGTCTATGGGTCTCTATGCCAGTCTACGGGTCTCTATGCTAGTCTACAGGTCTCTATGTGAGTCTATGGGTCTCTATGTGAGCCTATGGGTCTCTATGCCAGTCTATGGGTCTCTATGCCAGTCTACGGGTCTCTATGTGAGTCTACGGTTCTCTATGTGAGTCTATGGGTCTCTATGTGAGTCTACGGGTCTCTATGCTAGTCTATGGGTCTCTATGCTAGTCAACGGGTCTCTATGCGAGTCTATGGGTCTCTATGTGAGTCTACGGGTCTCTATGCTAGTCTATGGGTCTCTATGTGAGTCTACAGGTCTCTATGTGAGTCTATGGGTCTCTATGTGAGTCTATGGGTCTCTATGTGAGTCTACGGGTCTCTATGCTAGTCTATGGGTCTCTATGTGAGTCTACAGGTCTCTATGTGAGTCTATGTGTCTCTATGCCAGTCTATGGGTCTCTATGCCAGTCTACGGGTCTCTGTGTGAGTCTATGGGTCTCTATGCTAGTCTATGGGTCTCTGTGTGAGTCTACGGGTCTCTATGCGAGTCCACGGGTCTCTGTGTGAGTCACAGTTGACTGATGCCGACACCCTCCCCTCCTGCCCGCTAGCTGAACCAACAGCTTGAATTACTTATAATTGTTCATCTTATTGAGTGTTTAGAAGCCCGATAGGAAGACTCCACACACACAATATTCTAGGCTTGGATTACACACGGCAGGGAGGGAGTGGGGGAGGGGCTGGGGAGAGAGGGGGATAAGGGGGCGTGGTTTTGTGACGTTCCTATAAATGCCGAGCGCGTGGCACTGGGCCACGCGCTCACTTGTGAAGAGCTCGCAAGGAGCACAAGCGGCGTTGGTGGCGGTGGTTCGCAACATGAACAATGGCAACCGCGTGGTACGGCAGTCTCTCGTCTCTCTCTCTCTCTCTTTTCTCTATCCCCTCACGCGCGCTCGCACGCTCTCATCGATGACTGGGATTGACGTCTAGCGTGCGGGCTATATAGGCTGTGTGTAAGAGTTCTGCGGACATTAGGCCGTCTGGAACGCTCCTCCCTTTCGATTGAAGGGAAGCCTCTTTGAGCAATGTACATTGTTTTTTAAAAAAAAAATCATAATATGGAATGACGAATTAATTTCTTTAGAACTGCTTTATTGTTGTTGTTGTTGTTGATGATGTGTTTCGTTTTTTGTATTTCCACCCCCCCCCCCCCCCCCCCCCCCACCTCTGATTAACGTAAGTGTGCATAAGGATGATTTATTTACCGTATATTCTTGGTTCTTTGGGTAAAGTCACCACCACGTAGAAGGGAAACAATAAAATAATAAAAATACATATAAAACAATCAAATTCTCACGACGTTTCGACTGCTTGTGTTGCAGTCGAAACGTCGTGAGAATTTTATTGTTTTATATGTGTTTTTATTATTTTATTGTTTCCCTTCTACGTGGTGGTGACTTTACCCAAAGAACCAAGAATAATAATTGTATTGTTTTACAATAATTGTATTATTTTAGATTTTTATTATTTTATTGTTTCCCTTCTAACGTGGTGGTGACTTTACCCAAAGAACCAAGAATAATAATTTTATTGTTTTATATTTTTATTATTTTATTGTTTCCCTTCTAACGTGGTGGTGACTTTACCCAAAGAACCAAGAATAATAATTTTATTGTTTTACAATAATTTTATTGTTTTATATTTTTATTATTTTATTGTTTCACTTCTAACGTGGTGGTGACTTTACCCAAAGAACCAAGAATATGAATAACTGCAGTCACGAAAGCTTTAAATCAACAATTGATTTATTTACTTTTTCAATTAAAGCTTTCGTGAATGCAGTAATTCATATTCTTTGCTCTTTCGGTAAAGTCACCACGTTGAAGGGAAACAATAAAATAATACAATATATTTATAAAACAATAAAAAAAATTCTCACGACGTTTCGACCATAACGCAAACGGTCATCATCAGGTGACCTTTAACGTGGCGACTTTACCGAAAGAGCTAAGAATATTATTTATTTACTGTTAGTTTTTGCCTGTTTTATTTTTTTTGTTGGCTGGCCATTAATTTGTTTTTATATTCTTAGCTCTTTCGGTAAAGTCACGTTGAAGGGAAAACAATGTTTTATATATATATTTTATTATCTTATTGTTTCCCTTCAACGTGGTGACTTTACCGAAAGAGCTAAGAATATGAATTTACTGCAGTCACGAAAGCTTTAAATCATTAATTTGTTGCGTGGCTTCTTGCGGTAAGGTCACGTAGGTTTAAAAAATATATATAAACTTTATATATATAAAAAAATGAAGTTAATCACTAAATCACGATGTTTCGGAGCTTCCGTCATCAGCTGCCAATGGTCACAGCAGAAACAGGTCCCTGCAGGGTGGGCTGGTAGGACAAGTCTCTGCGCTGTCCATTGCTGATTTTACACCCCAACAGCACGAGATTTCACTTCGTTAAAGTATCGAAAGGGGACGGACGGACGGACACATAAATCTATTGCAGGCTGGTACACTCAGTTTACAAGTTCGTTCCTACCAGTATAATCGTGGTGAGTAGAGAGAGTGAGAGAGAGAGAGGGAGAGAGAGGGGGATCTCTTTGTGACGTACAGGGTAAGAAAGGGGGAGGAGCCAGGAAGACTGGCGGAAGCTTCTAGTGTTTCCTCCGTCACGTCGTGATTTAGCGATTAACTTTAATTTGTTTTTAGGTTTTTTTACCCACGTGACTTTGCCGACAGAAACCAAAGAGTATGGATCGTTGCAGTCACGTAAAACTTCACATCTAGAATTGGCCATTAATTTTTTATTATTTTTACTTTATTTAATTCGGTTCGGGAGAGAATGCAAAGCCTCGACCGAGTCTCAAGACTCATTTTCAGGAGGGTCCAGCCAACGTTGGTTGCAGTCGTAGTGGTCTGATGCTTTGCTGCTGCTGCTGCTGTTATTGCTACATGTTTTGTGTGTGATGTCAGCTGAGTGATTTGCAGGAGACTTGAGTGTTGGTGGCTGAGCATTGGGGGAGTTGTGTTTTGGCGAATGCGGGTTATGTTGTTGTATGTTGGGGGGGTTGTTTTGGGGGTTTTTTTTACAGCGAAAGGGAGAAAACAGGATAGCCCATAGGCAACCCGTGCAGAACAGGGATTAGAGAATATAATACTCCACTCACTCACTCTGTAGAACAGGGGGAGATCACACAAACTCCACTCACTCACTCTGTAGAACAGGGGGAGATCACACAAACTCCACTCACTCACTCTCTAGAACAGGGGAAGATCACACAAACTCCACGCACTCATTATAGAACAGGGGTAGATCACACAAACTTCACTCACTCAGTCTGTAGAACAGGGGGAGGTCATACAAACTCCACTCACTCACTCTCTAGAACAGAGGGAGATCATACAAACTCCACTCACTCACTCTCTAGAACAGGGGGAGATCACACAAACTCCATCACTCACTCTGTAGAACAGGGGGAGATCACACAAACTCCACTCACTCACTCTCTAGAACAGGGGAAGATCACACAAACTCCACTCACTCACTCTGTAGAACAGGGGGAGATCACACAAACTCCACTCGGTCTGTAGAACAGGGGGAGATCACACAAACTCCACTCACTCACTCTCTAGAACATGGGGAGATCACACAAACCCCACTCACTCACTCACTCTGTAGAACAGGGGGAGATCATACAAACTCCACTCAGTCTCACTCTGTAGAACAGGGGGAGATCACACAAACTCTACTCACTCACTCTCTAGAACAGGGGGAGATCATACAAACTCCACTCACTCAGTCTGTAGAACAGGGGGAGATCACACAAACTCCACTCACTCACTCTATAGAACAGGGGGAGATCACACAAACCCCACTCACTCACTCACTCTGTAGAACAGGGGGAGATCACACAAACTCAACTCACTCAATCTCTAGAACAGGGGGAGATCACACAAACTCTACTCACTCACTCTCTAGAACAGGGGGAGATCACACAAACTCCACTCACTCTGTAGAACAGGAGGAGATCATACAAACTCCACTCACTCTCACTCTATAGCACAGGGGGAGATCATACAAACTCCACTCAGTCTCACTCTGTAGAACAGGGGGAGATCACACAAACTCTACTCACTCACTCTCTAGAACAGGGGGAGATCATACAAACTCCACTCACTCAGTCTGTAGAACAGGGGGAGATCACACAAACTCCACTCACTCACTCTATAGAACAGGGGGAGATCACACAAACCCCACTCACTCACTCACTCTGTAGAACAGGGGGAGATCACACAAACTCAACTCACTCAATCTCTAGAACAGGGGGAGATCACACAAACTCTACTCACTCACTCTCTAGAACAGGGGGAGATCATACAAACTCCACTCACTCTGTAGAACAGGAGGAGATCATACAAACTCCACTCACTCTCACTCTATAGCACAGGGGGAGATCACACAAACTCAACTCACTCAGTCTGTAGAACAGGGGGAGATCACACAAACTCCACTCTCTCTCTAGAACAGGGGGAGATCACACAAACTCCACTCACTGAGTCTGTAGAACAGGGGGAGATCATACAAACTCCACTCACTCACTCTCTAGAACAGGGGGAGATCATACAAACTCCACTCACTCACTCTGTAGAACAGGGGGAGATCACACAAACTCCACTCACTCACTCTCTAGAACATGGGAAGATCACACAAACTCCACTCACTCACTCTGTAGAACAGGGGGAGATCACACAAACTCCCCTCACTCACTCACTCTGTAGAACAAGGGGAGATCATACAAACTTCACTCACTCAGTCTGTAGAACAGGGGCAGATCATACAAACTCCACTCAGTCTCACTCTGTAGAACAGGGGGAGATCATACAAACTCCCCTCACTCACTCACTCTGTAGAACAAGGGGAGATCATACAAACTTCACTCACTCAGTCTGTAGAACAGGGGCAGATCATACAAACTCCACTCACTCACTCTCTAGAACAGGGGGAGATCATACAAACTCCACTCACTCAGTGTGTAGAACAGGGGGAGATCACACAAACTCCACTCACTCACTCTCTAGAACAGGGGGAGATCATACAAACTCCACTCACTCAGTGTGTAGAACAGGGGGAGATCACACAAACTCCACTCACTCACTCTGTAGAACAGGGGGAGATCATACAAAACTCCACTCACTCAGTCTGTAGAACAGGGGGAGATCACACAAACTCCACTCACTCACTCTCTAGAACAGGGGGAGATCATACAAACTCCACTCACTCACTCTGTAGAACAGGGGGAGATCACACAAACTCCACTCACTCACTCTGTAGAACAGGGGGAGATCACACAAACTCCACTCACTCACTCTGTAGAACAGGGAGAGATCATACAAACTCCACTCACTCACTCTGTAGAACAGGGAGAGATCACACAAACTCTACTCACTCTGTAGAACAGGGGGAGATCACACAAACTCCACTCACTCACTCTGTAGAACAGGGGGAGATCACACAAACCCCACTCACTCACTCACTCTGTAGAACAGGGGGAGATCATACAAACTCCACTCAGTCTCACTCTGTAGAACAGGGGGAGATCACACAAACTCAACTCACTCACTCTCTAGAACAGGGGGAGATCACACAAACTCCACTCACTCACTCTCTAGAACAGGGGGAGATCACACAAACTCCACTCACTCACTCTCTAGAGCAGGGGGAGATCACACAAACTCCACTCACTCACTTTCTAGAACAGGGGGAGATCACACAAACTCCACTCACTCTCTAGAACCGGGGGAGATCATACAAACTCCACTCACTCAGTCTGTAGAACAGGGGGAGATCATACAAACTCCACTCACTCACTCTGTAGAACAGGGGTAGAT